TCCATTTGTAAAAGTATATTTTTTTAAATTATTCCGAACAGATTTTAGTAAGTGTGGAGGATCGTGCATAAAAAATATATTTTCATTATTATAAGTGATGTAAGGTTTTTCCATGGTCACTCCAAACAATTTTCACATTTTCATATTATTTGATCCTTGGTCACAAATTATAACCTTTGGAATCAAACCACATTCTATTAGTTTTTGAATAGTATGTATCATAATTTGTTTAAGACGATCACCCGATACAGGACCACTAGAAACAAAAAACCCTAATATTTGTTTCCATGGTAACACAAGGCTTTTAATCATTATTACTAACGCTTGATTACCATGTTTTAGTGACGACTGATTTTCAAAAATATTTGAACCATAATCTTCAAAACCAGTAAATATATCATTCTGTGAATTGTATGATATTAATTTTTTTAATGACATTTCATCCATAATTATTGAAACTAATCTTTCTTTTATAGGAGCTGTTTTAAATTTTAAACTTAAGATATTCAGAATGTTTTCATTTATACCACATGATACATCTAAGCCCTGCAACCATCTCCTCAGTGATCTAACAGCAGGTAGATTAAGGTATGATCTCATAAATTTATAGCCTACAGGCGAGTGGTAATATAGACCCAGCGCAAATGACTTTTCTGTTTCTTTGTATCGTTTTGCACTTTTTTTCAATTGACCTAACCGAAATTCAGACCTAGCTATCATGTTAGATCTTAAAAATTTATCCATTTTGGATTTTTTGTCATACACTTCTTTTTTATTTTTTTGTTTCAGTTTTAATATTGTTTTTTTACCCTTGCATATTAATTTCTGAGCATTTCTTAACTTAACCTTCAGTTGTTGGATAATACTTTCTTGATGTTCTACAATATTTCTTGTTTTAACAGACATAGAAATTACTTCTAAAACAAAAAATGTGTGTATGTATTCATAACTCATTTATGATTAAATCATAAGATAGTTTTTTTAAAAATGGTGACATCAACAAGATGAAAAAAAACATAATAGTAAATTATTAGATAAAATCAAAAGTTGACCAAGAAAAAAAGCACTTAAACCAACATAATGCATAACATAGGTACCAATATACCATTACACAAAACCAAGATCGTGGACAAAACTAATATATAAATATATAACAATTATATTTATGTAATTATGTAACATTTATCCACAAAACATTCACAATACACATTTATAAATAATAATTTAAATGATTATTATTTTAATAGCAATTCACAAATGTCTGAGTAAATAATTTTTTTCTCTAGTAAATCTAAATTCTATTACTTATTCTTACAATTAGTAGTACATACATTTTAATACAATATTACAAAAAAATACAACACAAACCATGTCCCAGACCGGAAATGAAACATTTTATAAATATTCAAACCTGCTTTAGATTCATCCATAATATTATGTTCATCTTTTGGTAACATATTTGCTAAATTTGATGTTGATGCATCTACATCTGATCCAAAAAGTGATCGTTTTACTGGATTCTTATGCATCTTCCATTCTTCAGTTAAAAAATTATTTTCCTCGGAAACTTTTGGGATAATGTTTTTTTTTGAACTTGTGAGTTTTTTAGGAGTTGTTAAACGATAAAATTTTTTATACATAGAAAATACTGGACTGTGTATTTGATTTTGTTTCATTCTATTTTCAAAAATATTATTGAAATTTAATTTTAAACCTAAAAAACAATTGTTTGTTATTTATAGTAGTTAGGTATAAGTAGGTATATATTTTATAATCAAATGTATCAAACCCTTACTTTTCAACAATGGTTTAGCTAAATGAGGAGATGTAACTGGTAAATTTAATGAAGGTACTACACCATATTTCAATCTAAAAAAATATTCATAAACAAAACATTTATAATATAATACTAATACTATATAGGTATGTATAACTTACAATCTTCTACTAGAACCCCTGTTTGGTACAAAATCTTCTGGGTTAAAATGGTTTGAACAAATACTATAATTTAAACTCAGATGTAAATGTCCAAAAGTTCTCATAACTTCATTTATTCTTGAATTGTTTGCAAACTTAACCCATTTTTGAGAACTGTAATTTGTAATATTATAAACAATAACAATTCTAGTGTATTATGATTTAAGAGTGATTTTTATAATAAACAGATACTTACATATGAACGTCTTTTGGAAATGAATGAAAAGACAATCTCTGTTGACCACTTAAATCATTTTTACAATGATTTATAGCGCATACTTTTTTGGACACCATTTTTAAGCAGTTAAAAGTAATACAAGTAATTACTATGCCGTTAACTTATGAATTTTGTTAATTGATAACAAATAAACAGTATACTTAATATTATATTGTAATATAGGTAGTAGGTACTAATATGAATATATTTAATATTTCGTACGATTGTACGAATGTAATATTATTGATATTCAAACTTCAAAAATGGTGGGAAGTATCATCATATTTTAAGGAGTAAAGTTAGGCAATTTAATATCAATCTCGGGGGGAATTGATAAGACCGGTCGCCAGGTTTTACAGCAGTAAGTGTCCCGTATTGTCGTATATAGTATTTGGTGTTACTAATGTTAAATTGACCTTTTATTAGAATCACCAAGTGCCGGATAATTGAATCACTTTTATGAACAATCTTAATGTTATTATGGTATTTCAAAGTTCAAACTGATTAACTTATAAAACCCATTTTATTTTTGAACTTATTAGTATGACAGTATATCGTTGTACGTTATTATGTTATTCAATTATCTTTGTGCGTCGTGTACTTGTGTCATTTATTATGTATGTTGCATTTAATATGTAATTGTATAAAAAGATTGAATCATGAAAGAATGTTGTAAATGTTTTATAGAATCAAAGTGACCTTCACCAAAGTGATCACATTAAGCGGAACCCACTGTATAACTTAATGGTGATTAACTGATTTGTGACGAGTTCAGAGTTGAGGCGATCCTATAATAGTGGTTAGGCCTTAGAGGTCCTCTAAAATATTAATAGGTACTTTATTTTTCAACAATAAAAATTAATAATTATGTTATTACATTACTGACAGGCTACAACGGCCTCATCACTGGTTACATTGTATGTGACAATAACATTCAGATATTATTTGTTTATGTTTGGAGATGATTTTAGACTTTTCCCAAAACAAACCAAACAGCGTCGTTGTTACTATTTTCTATTCAATAATACAAAAATGTGTACAAATCGTACTTGGTACACAGTACATATTTCCGACAAAATTTTTTAGACCTTACAGGTGGTCGGCCAATGTATATCTACAACAGAAAAATATTTTAAAGCTGGGTGTTGAATTGAAATAAAAAATTTTTTATGTAAGAATTGTTAATATGCATATTTAAAGATTTATGTTTATTAATTATGATTAATTGCCTCCTTTAATAATTATACTTTATGTTTCCATAGTAGGGTGATTACACGACAATTACATACCTAAAATGAGCTTAATACTAGTCGTTAAAAAACTAGAAGTTTCAAAGTATTACTTTAATTTCTCGAGTATCTTATGATGAAATTGTTTTATGAAATATTAAATACAACTACCAGAAATGAATTGCAATACAAAATGCTCAATACTTCTTATAACTATACCAGGAAATAGTTGATACAAGAATACAAGATACAATGGTATCTAAGATACTGCTCAACAGTGGCACAGATATTTTGTATTTTCAACAAACAACATTTCACAATGTCTAAATTGATGAGAACATTTAATATTTCCACATTGCCTACAAAAAATGAATGACGATTGCACAGCTTATAATTGTTATTTATGCCTGTAATTGGTTTTTATTATTATTTATTATAACGAATAAATGACAAATATATTTTATAATACATCAATTATTTATTTAACACCAACATTATACTAACAAAAAAATGTAAAAAACACAGTAACAATATTCAATAATTCAAAATAATCTTTTTCTTTTGGTATTTTTTTTTGCTACTGATTTTTTCCTCTGATCATTTAATGATTTTGAACGGAATGACACACACTGGAAAGATAAATATACAAACCTTTAAATTTATATACATAACAACCGTCAACCAATTACAAACATTTACAATTTTGAATAATGTACATAAGATGATCCTCAAATAGATAACCTTACAATAAATGTCCATACTATTCTAATATACATCCGCTAGTAAATTAATGAAATCAAAATTTTCACGGAAAACATACATACAATAATAATTGAATCAATTATTAATAGGTAGTTAAATTAATTAATAGAAGAATTAGAATGAAAATGATTTTGATCAATGAAGGAAACAGTTTTTTGACTTACATAATTAATAAAAAAAAATGTATATTAATATAATAACTAAAATTCTAAATTGTAATAAATATTTTACTTTATCATCCAAAAATGTCATGAGTTTTTGCATACTAATGTTAACATTGTACTGTCTTAAATCTTCTTTCAGCTCTTCGATCCAAATAGGTTCATAACACAAAATCTTTTTATGAAGATCTTCATTGACTCTGAGCAAATCTTTAAAACCCATATCTACTGAAGCTAAAATAACATTTATTAGGATTAAAAATTGTATACAAAATACATATAATTTTCTAAGTACAAACATTAACTTATGCTATCGTTTTGAAACAAACTACATTTGCTTTGTTTGATTAGGTAATAGATCACCCAAGACATAGCCATTATGACAATTTATAATAACTACAATTGTGACCAAATGTGGCTCATATCAAAACACAGCTCTAATTTTAAACATACAATATATTAAACTGATAATAGATAAAAAACAACATTTTATTTTATTTTAAATTTGATTAATATTATAGCAGTTGAATGAGATATATTATAGACTTAACTATACTCTGTCTCAAAAGAGAACAATCAGTTGGCCAACCGATTTATGTCAGTGCTGCACATCTTCCACCATCTCACCAGTGTTAGCGTGATCACGTGGTTCTCGACACGTCAATCGCATCACTCAACACAATGCGCAAAAAAAAATTATTATTCTAGTTTGAGACAGAGTATAGGTGTCTTATATTTCACAAGCTATAGCAATGATAATACATTACAGTAAAATAATGATTAAAGATGATTACAGTAATATTTATAATTAGTTAAAAAAATATTTTCTGTGATTTCTTAAGAATTGTACAATATACAATATACAATATACATACATACATGTAGGTCTTCATAGAACTTACTTTTATTTGATAAATTTGTTTGACTAAAAGTTTCCAATTCGTCATAATTTCCATCATCTTCATAATAAGGAATTTCAGATTCTGAACTATAATATTATTCGTACAACACAATAAATTATGTTTATACTATTAACTAATAAATAATAATGGAAATTTAAATGCTTAAAATATACTTACTTATCTGAAGAATCAGAATACTGTTCAGAGTCTCCAACATGATTTGCTTCTTCAGAATCATATTTAGGATGAGTTACATCATAAATATGTCTTAAAATAAGTTTTCCTTTACGCCTTCCGAGATCTTTAAGGCCATAACGATCAAATTCTTTCTAAAATTACAATTAAAAATGTTTTAAAAAAATTAGTTATCCATGAAAAACTTGAGTGAAAAAACTGAATGTAAGAAATTGTTATTGATTCCTGGCTGTATACTATATCTAAATATGCAACTAAAACCATTTACAAACTAAGCTTGAAATATAAATTTGTAGCTACATATTTTTTATTTTATTTAAATTTTTGAAATTAAAAAAAACACTAAGAAATCTAGAATTTTAATAGCATTAACTATTAATTATTTCCATTTTCTTTTTAAATACACTATTTATAATTATCATAAAATTTTATTTTTATTTAGACATCAATCTATATAAATTGTAAATTTGTAACTATCCAAATTCTCAAAAAAGAATAATATACAAAAAAATGTTGTTATATGAAATACTTTTACCCCTCTTAAGTTTATAGCATAATGTTTTGTTCAAATTTATTCAAAAATGTTGTAATAAAAGTTGAGAAACAATTACTAATTTTTTCATTAATAAATATTTTAATTAAATTAACTTTTGTCCAAAGTTTTTGTCAGAACTTCTAAATAAAGATGGTAAAATAACATTTATTAAAGTATCTTTATGAAAACTTCCACTATTCAAGACAATACAGACAACATAGACATTGGTTTAAATTAGTCTAGGACTATCAAAGATCTTCTGTGTAATGAAATAATAAGTACATGATTAATTTGATGACATAAGTATCTAGGATCAATTGTTACTAGTTAACACAAAGTTTCTTAACAGCATTCTTAAAGAAATACTTACTCTTAAATCTGGTGTTTTCATTGCACTGTAATTTGGCAAAGGCGTTATTTGTCCATTTGTACCAATAAGAGATTCTGATTGAACCCTGCGTAAACTTTTTGGAGTACTTATTCTACTGCCGTATTTATTTGGTGTTACTGCATTTTTCATTTGATGATTTACTATATCAACGTTACATGAAATAGTTGGCGGAGAAGTTTGTAAGTTCATATTAATATGATGTGCTATTTTTGAGGGCGTTGATAATACTTCAGAGTCATTAACTAAGACCGTAGAATTAGTCTCAAATAAAATTGGAGACACATATTGAGGACTAATATTAACCGGCTGCCAATCATTATAGTCCATCCATGGATCGTCAATTATTTGTTCAAAGGCTGATTTATTTTGCTCGTCATCTTTTTCATTTGATGTAGTTATTTGGGATGTAATAGGAAGTTGAACAGTTTCTATTTGAGAACTATAAGGCCTAAATGAAGAATACTTGTGTTCATTCGATAAACAAGTAGTTAAATCAACAACCTCTTTAATATTTACTGGGGAATTGAAATAATTATTATCAGGTGATATTATATTTTTTTTTAGTATATTTTCCAACCCTTCAAGATCTGAATTAGGTTTGTCTGAATCATTTTTCTTATCCAAACATATTGTATTGCTGATATTATCACTGTTTTCTAAATTATTGATTTGTGAAATGTTAAAAAATGTTGATGGCATATTGATATCGTTACATTGAAATAATTGTTCAGTAGATTTAGATAATAATTCTGAATTACTACATTTTGGTAAAATTGTGTTGATTGAAGAGTTTGTTAAATCTTCATTGGTTTTTGTATTTATGTTTGCATAGTAATCTCCATTGCTGATTGGAAATGAAGAATTTGACCATGTGTCACCCCCTTTCAATGGTGATGCATTCGAAACACAATTATTTGTTTCAAATTTTGAAGTTACATTGTCGTGATTTGGAGAATTTGTTTTCCTCAACACATTTGAAAAGGGAGTTGAAGAATTTTGACAACTTTGTTGAGCATTATTATTCGATGGTAATTTTGAAAAAGATGTCAATAAACTGTCATTTTTTATTTTATCAATTGTAAAGATAGAATCTGAGCTACTATCATTTATTAGGTCTATAAAATTGTTATTACTCGAAGATGGAATTTGAACAATAGAACTATTTGTGGGAAGAAACTTTTGTACAGTGGAAATTCCAGTGCTTTCATCATCAATATTTATGAATGACTTAGTTTTTGGTGTTGAAATAGTGGACTTGTTAACAAAAGAATTTCCCAATTTAGTGTTGAAATTTCTTTGACGTACTATATTTGTACAAACTGAATGAACTGAATCTAAGCTACTGTCATTTAACTCAATAACACTAATGTCATCATCACTTTTATCAACTGAGTTAAATGGGAAATAATTTTTTTTTCTCTTAATGCTTGCTTGAAAAGGTATACAATTGTTTTCATTTAATAGATTAATATTTCTATCATAAGATTTACCATTAAAACGAGACAAAACCATATCTAGCGAATCGTTGTCACTATCACTGATGATTGTAATTAATTCTGGTTCTTTACACAAATTAGTAAGTGTTGACATTTTTTTTGAAGGATTTTCCAAAACAATAGGAACGTTTTTGATGTTATTCAACATTGAGGCGGCATTCATGCTTGATTCATCGATTGGTAGTGATTTGGGGGATGCCCTTGTAATATCTAATGTTGGGCTAACGTGAACATCATTACTTTTTGTAATACCTAATGTTGGGCTAACGTGAACATCATTACTTTCAAAGTCCATGTGATAATCATTTTGAGTAGATGTAGGCGATAATTGAATATTATGTACAGTTGATGCACTATGAAAAGAATGAGCTGGGCTCTTCATTGGTGAAATAGTTTGTGGTAGAATGTTAATGTTTAAATTCTCTGTGAATGATGAATTGTGATGTTGACTTAGATTGCAATTATTCAGCCACTCTTTAGTTTTTAACACACTCAAGGAATTTTCATCATTCACAGTTGTTCCTAAAAAATTAGAACTCATATTACCTATTTCTTCACTTGTATTATCCATCATAAACATATCTGGACTGAGAGCTTTATATCTTTTATTATCATTTGAATATAATTCTGAGCTTTTACGTTTTGATGCCTTATCGTACTCTTCTGAAAACCATCCATGTTTTCCATCACTGTCATTAACAGCTATTTGAGCATTGTACCTTGTTACTAAATGCAAATAATCTTTTCTGTACTCGGGACTTATTAATTGTTCCTGACCAGAGTAAATTAGTTCTAAGAATGCCATGCATGCTTCATAACTGTACTCAGACCACATTACCATTTTTTTTGAATCACGTGTACCAGATTCTTCTGTAATTATGTCATTCAGAATATCAGGGCACTGTACATGAATCACTAGAATGTGAGCAGGAATTTCATGTTCATCTTTGGAAAATATAGTTATATCACTCATAAACTGACTCCCTATCATTGATTTCCACTTAGATGAATATTCTGACATAGTTTTATTTTCAACAATTCTATGACTTGTAACATGTTTATTTAAAACATTTGAATCATCTAAAACTGCATGTAATGTATTAATGACTTCCTCATCAGTAGTATTTAGTTCCTAAACAAAATATTAAATATTTGTAATGTGGTAATAAAATAATATAGTATAATAAAATATATATTAGTGTACAGGAAAATAACTTATTTGTATGATTATTAACCCTAGAGCAGGCTTTTAAAAATTTGTTCATTGTTAATAGTACAAAAGTTGTTTTATAAATTTAAATTGTTAAAAGATATCCTCAACACCAACACCTTGTTTACAGTCTATTTAGCACATGTCCAATCTATTATTAGCTATGGTATTGTTGTTTGGGGAAATGCATCAAAGTTTCTTTTAAATTCCCTTATTATTACATTAAACTCACTGTTGAGATTTATTCTATTGAAATTGTATGATTTTCACGTTGATGACCTTTACAGTACACTAAATGGAAGAAACCAAATTGGCCTATTTATATGAAATATATTTAATTATATTTTTAATGTTGATCTAAAAAATTATTACCCGTCACATAACTATCAAACACGTCTACAATAATCAGAAAATCTGAATATACCAGTAACAAATAAGGAATTTGGTAGAAAAACGGTTATTAATGGCAGTGTTCGTTTATGTATTAATATTTATTTATTATCATATACAAATAAGTATCATTATAAAAAATATTTAAAACATCTGAATCTGAATCATATTATATTATAAATAAAAACTTGTAATTGTATTTTCTTCCTATTATATTTATCTATACGACATATGTTTGTTGTATAATGTAATACGTACCTAAGTAATAATATAAATATTATAATAATAAATTGTAACATTTTTGTGTTGTATTGAACTTGCAGCGCCCACCACAAGCTATGCTTTTGGGGCGGTGTCATAAATTGTTTTATTTTTAGTTTTGTTATCTTATGTAAAATATTTATTTGACAATAAACTATTATTATTTATTATTATGAGACTCAACTTTCGGTTGTTTTTAAATTGTTTTCTAATAATTTCTTTCGGATAAAACAATATCCATGGTAATTATAATTATTATACCTATTTAATATTAAAATTAATATGCAACATTAATTTAGTTTTCATGATAAATAGGTCTGCAGAAAAATAGGGGAGTATGTATACAGTGCAGGTATATAGTGTATGTCTATGTATATAGTGCAGAATTGCTTTTAAGAAATAACTCATAGGCTGGTTAAACCAACACAAATAATAAAACTTGTATGAAAATGAAGTATAATATTGAATTTACAATTACCTGTTTTATAGTATTTTCATACACAGGAAATCGAACAATATTTTGTAGGCCATTGGTTTCACTGGGGCTAATGAACTTGGACACAATTTTCACATAAAATTCAAATACATCATTTTCTTCAAGTAATGATTTTTTCCAGAGTTTACAATCCTATGCAAATAAAAAATATAATTTTTCATAATACATGTTAATTCATATGAACATTCAAAATGTTTAGCTTTAACAATTATGTGTTTTTTTTTAATCTGTCATCACTCAAGGAGTATAAAAATTAATTTAACCATCAACATTTAGAATGGTTTCTGTTAGAAAATCTGATCTTGTTTTAACAGTATAGAAAACAGTCACAATTTTTAACAAAATTTGATATTTAAACAATTAATAAGAATCAATTATAGTTATTTTGTTGCACCTGATTTAAAAAATATTTGTCAGTCTTGGAAATGTTTAGCCATCAAATGTATAATTATATTCAATGCACAATACAATTTTATGTATATTTAGGCTTTCAATCTTTTTATTTATAATTTGAGTTGTTAATAAAGCTATTAACTACAAACATTTTCTATATCTACCACATTTTACGGTAGATCTGAATTGAATTAAGTTTTTATGAAACATTTTTGGCAAAAATGAGATGAATTATTCAAATAAAGAAAATACCAACTATATAAACATAGTATAAGATAAACTATTCTTATAAATAAATTCTGATCCACTTAACAGGCAATTTACTCTCTCACATTGATTCATCATCAAATTTTAATTTATCACGGTCATTAGATTGGACTACTACAATAATCACATACCTACACGACATATAGTCTAAGGTCTGTTTCACGTTGACATATCATACACGTCCGTGTGAAACAGCCCTAAAACTAAAACACAGTAGAGAGAGACATGAGTTCCTCAGTTTTTTAATATTAACTTTTATATCAATAATAACCAGTTAAATATATCACATCATTGAAGATACAAGGAATTTAAAAACTTTAAAATAAAAACAATATTAAGGATTATTATAAATTTAGAATAGTATGTAGAAATGTTAATAGTCTTTTCATTTTAAATCTCAATTAATTATACTTGTGTAAAATTGCAATTATTTTTTAATTACTAAATTTTGAATGTTCAGTCTCTCAAGTACTTAATAATCTTTTAAGTATTAATATCTTTATAAATTAGACTATATAGTATGTATTAATCTCAACAATAATAACTTACAGCATTTCTTATTTTGTTTAAATATTTGGATCTTAATTTTATATTGGGACAGTCATTTAAAGATGTTTCTGGTGATAAGGTATCACAGTCTATAAGAATCATTGCTACTTTTTCAGTAATTCTTTTCTGACGATCTTCTTGTGTTTGCTTGAATAACAAAGAATTGGTTTTATAAACTGTAAACATATAATTCAAAATAAATATACATTTAAATATAAAATACATAAATTAGTGATGAGAAAATAACAGTTTTTTTTTTGATATCATGAACCAATTTTAAAAACTATAACTGAACTAATTTACAATTATTATTGTAATAAAATATATTAATTGTATTTAAACATTGACATAATATTAGGAAAACTTTCAATAACCATAAAAAATATTCAGCCATAATAAATAATTTTGGTTTAACTCATAAATTAATATGATATAGAATTGTAATATTAATGTTTTTAACATCATTTTAAGTATACCAAACTTTAATTATTGATTAGGTATAGGTTAGATCAATTAAATTTTTTTTTTTTTAACTGTGAACTTATCAAGTAGCATAATTGTCTGAAATTAGTTTTACAAGCTAATGTTTTATTTAAAAATACTAACAATTTTTAGATTTAGATTTAATTGGCTGATTTGATAAAAAACCAAAGCTTTCCAATGTCTTCCTTTTTTCTATGGCCTCGGTTTCTAAGCCTGCTTCTAAAAGGTTTTCAGATTCTTTTATAATTTCAGCTTCTTTGGACTCTTGTAAGGACATAGACATTGCAATAGCCAAATCAAAATTAGAATCACTTCCAATCTAAAATATAATAAAAGTTATTTTAATATTATATTTGATACATTAAAAATATATATATTATACCTTCAACTTTGTTTGTTTAGTACACTTTTTTTTAAATTTAACATCTTTATTTTTAGTTAATTTGGGTAGTCCCAATGCTTCTCTTTCAGCGGCTTGACGCTCTTGAAGATCTACAGCTTTTATCAGTACTTCAGATGATAAATTATGTGATGTACCACAAGATTTAACATGATTAATGAAATGTTTGAGATCAATCATTTGTAAACAAACTGGACATTGTTTACTTTCATTTATGACATCAGGTACATTTCGAACTGGAGAAGTCTTAAAAACGCTTTGCGACATGGTTATTTTTTCATTCTGAGGATGTACAGTATGCAATATTTCTACAAAACTATCATTTTCAGATAACACGCTATTATTTGGAAAATTATTACACTCAAATTTTTCAGAATCACTTGTTAAATCTTGGCATTTACTGAAAAAAAGTAAAATAATTCAAATTTATTTTGGTGCCTTATTTTTATTTCGGTTATTTTCCCACCACTCACAGGTATCATATTTTCAAGATTATTGGGTTGACTAACCAACTAATTAACTAGGTTATAATATCAATATTAAATATGTATAACATTTAATACAATATGTGGATGTGTTTATGATAAAAATAGTATAAAAAACAAAACTAAAAAAATTGTATAGTTAAAAAAAAAAAAAGATAACTTTAGTTGTATTTTTAGTATTGTTTGTCCCGTTTTGTTTTTATATGTCCAATTTCGCACGGCTGACATTTGGGTAAGACGGCAGGAACCACAAAATTATATTTACAGTTGACTATTTAGTGCTCAATTATTTATCCAGAGTTTTTTATCCGATCGCCAATGGATGAATGATAGTTAATATTGTTATTACGAACAATCCAAAAATTTTAGAACTGTGAAGTTGTGGAAAGATAACCGAAAAGCGCTTGTATTTTTCATAAGTAATAATAAATGGTTTTATTTACTTTGTAGAATCAGTAGATAATGTACTGTTACTGTTTTGCTTTTTTAATTTTAATGTTAATTTAGATTGAGAAAATAAATTCATTTTAAAATTGTAATATAAATACTTTTAAAGACTATGATTAATTACAAATAAACAAATAAACTAAAAGAAAATATTAAATTATATTTTTATTGGTGAAAATTCATCCTTTTTCGACATAACTTCTTCTTTTCTTTGCTTTAGATTCTTTGTATCAGGATTGAAATTATTTTTAATCATTTCTAATCTATAATTTTCTTCTGCTGTACGATCCCAATAACCATTTTTGATTTGTTCATTTAGTTTTTTAGTAGATGGCAATTGTCTATAACAACAAAAAAAAAATTGAATAAATATATGCAATTTCATAATGAATAATGATAAATCTAGTTATAATTATTAGATATAAGGAAAAATAAATTAAAATTAAAAATAAATTTATGTGCAGTGTTATCAATGTTACTCTGTGATCTAAAATGAAACAATACATAATTTTTGCACAATCATTGTTTCTTCTTTGGACCCATGTACAACATATTACACATACAATACAACTTATTTACGTACAATTGTTATTTATAATTTTTTAGTAATCTGAAGCATAAAAATTAAATATTACAAATTACAATTATTATCCTTATTATTTTTGTAATGAGTGATTTTATACCAAAATTACTGAAAAACAAAAATGATTTTGCTTTTTGTCTATGTTGAGAGAGAAAACCAAAAATTCGCTGATATCGGGACGTCCTCTTAATATACAATTACAACCAATATTATTATATTTAAATGTCTTAATTTTTTTTTCAAAACACTTAATTTATAAAAAAAAATGTTTACAATATAGGTAATCAAATATCAAATATATTACGTGTGTAGGCATGAAGTTTATGGGGTTCTAATTTTACTAGTTTTTTTAATAAATTGGATAAAATAAACCGATGAATAATTAAATGTTTTTAAGTAGGTGTTTAATAAACTTTTTATTGTAATAAGTATATTTTTGGTTAAGTTTTAGCTTTCTTTTCTACGACAGTTATTAGTGTTACCACTAAAGAACACATGTCATAAAAATATTCTGATTGTAAAAAATTTAAGTAAATACTTACATCACATGCAATTCTAACATTTTATTTTATCCTTAATTATTTCCCCTTAGTAGTTACTGAAACCCCACAGTGGCAGTTCAATTATGATTTTTAAATGATAACTTACATACTTAATTTCATCATTTCAAGTAAAATACTTATTTTAAATGAATATGCATTATTAATGAGTATTCAAAGAATAGATTTGTTTTTTCATTAATGATAATTTAAAGTTTGAATTAGGATGGTAGTTGATAAAAAGTCTGATGTAACATTAGCTCTCAAATTCAAAATTAATCAAATATTATATAAATATATAAAAACTCACTCAAACAGGAACCAACTAAGTCCACTGACAGCCAATACACCAAACACATACAAATTTCGATATTTATATGCAGTAGTACCCCTCACTTGTCTTGGCTTACCAGAATTTTTAGTTTCAAATGCCATTTAAGAGAGTGCCTAAGTTGGAAATCTTCAAATAATAACAATAACAAAATAATATAAGATTTAGATAATTAATGAATAATAAGAATAGGTATATTTTATTTTCTAAACACTTAATAATTTACTGCTTCATTTGGGATTCATTAAAATTACCTATCACTTTTTAGTGGTATCATGAGTACCTAAGTTTATAATTTTGGATTATTATTTATTAATAAAAATAGGTATTGTTAATATTTTTTTAACGTAGGTATCCAGCAATAAAATTATAGTTTTGATAACAAGTTTAAGTTGAGATACCTATTATTAAAGTACTTATAATAACTTATAATAACTTGTAATTGCTTGCACCTAAAGTGCTCTTAAAAAAACATCTTAAATTTTAATTTGAACCTATATCAAAACATTGAAAATAATTATTAACTAACCTTGCATTTTCATATTATTTGAAATATTGATAACTGAAATTATAAATTTTTGTAAAAAAATTGAATGATCTTTTACTGTAAATCACATGGCACATACTAATCTATGATTACTTTAACAGTTAAAGTTTAACCATATATTGTTTACTAGGTATTATTTACTTTAAATATACTAAATGTACCCATGTTTTAACCATATGCAGGCAAATATAAGACGCGATATTTGAAGGAACAGATATGTTTTACTTACTGATACCAATAAATAAATTGTGTTTTAAGTTTTTAGAAATAAATAAATAATGGAAAGTACCAAAATTGAATTATGAAACATACTTAAGAGCAATTATAAACTGAACCTTGATTCTTGAAAGAACGGACTTAAATCGTAGTGACACCAACTCTGTAATTGCCAAACGTGAATCGAGTCCTCAGAGAAATAAATTTTTCTAAAATAAGTAATAATTTGGTATTATACTTTATTTAATATAGGTACAATAGAAATATATATATTTTATTACAATGAAATTCAACAATTATTGATTCTGATATTTCAGACTTTAGAAGTCAACGGATAGAATATAGAAACTGGAGTGTGGCCTGAATACCCGATAGCGTAAGTATTACCATTGATAAGAAATCGGTTTATACCATACATTTGGTTGATTGGAGGAAGCGTACCGCCATAGAACAATCAAAGTACCGCCGTTCAGAAATCGGAATCAAATATTTATTTAGATTTTAGATATCATGTTTGAGCAAATAATAATATGACATAAATTCACTTAAGTGACCCATAATTTTTTTTGAAACTTACGTATTTTGACAAATTACGAACGATGGTGCAAAAAAAAATTAACAAATTTTATTTATTTTAATACGTACCTATTTCAAGTAGTTAAGTACCTAACTAAAAACGATACTGAAGTCAGAATTTAGCGGTCGGAATGAGTTATGAAGTTTTAGCTACTCGAAGTCCGAGACCCATCCAAAGTGATTCTACAAATAAGTCGAGAGATGTTTTCTATTTTAATTTATTGTCCGAGTGAGAGCAGCGAGCGAGTGGCAACGACGGATGTATATGAAAATATAAATTTCAATTAGCTATTACTTTAAAACTAAGTCTGACCGCCAAATTCTGACTTCTTCATTGTTTTAGCACGTATAACTACATAAGTACCTACGTTAAAACCATAGCCATAGTAAATAAATAATGTACATATGCCCATAATTTTATACAGCCATTACACTATATAGTCACTAATGTTCTATCTTCATGGTTAATCATAGAAAATAATTATCTAGGCTCTCTAGTTATTCGTGCTTAGTTTTATTTTTATAATAATTGCTTTTGAAAAAACTCTCTCACATGGCACTTGTATGAATGGCAAAATTAATATAAATTTGTGAGCTATGAAATATGAATAAGTTACAAAATAAATTTAACTAAAAATATAACTGTCGTATTAGTCAAATTGTAACAAGAACACAATCAACATTAAATACAATCTCTGCATTTGGTTTTTTTAGTAATTTATTTTTCACTGTCACTGCTTCAAGCATGAACAATTATTTTATTTTTATCAATTTACTAACACAATTTAAACAAGTTATTTAAGCTCAGAGTCATCGATCATTGAGGTATAACTATTAATTATTATTATATAATAATACGGTACGCCAATGTCAATAAATATTATGTTTTTGAGGGACAAATCTAATTAAAGCTAATTTTTCCAAATACCGATAGGTTTGTACGTGTTACCGGTAAACTACCAAAATGTTCAAAAATTAATAATTCTAGGAAAAAAGATCGAGACATAAAAATTCAACGTTAAAAAAAGGCCGATAAATACAGGTAAAATTAAAAATACGATGCATTAATGTTCCAATTAGTATTAATATGTTTAATTTTTAATTAAATAATTTACCTGATAACTGTTACAGTAACAAATTAATAGTACCCTGGTGACCCGTTCAACAGATATTATTATTATATACAATACATAATGATAATACACATATAAATATTATTTTATACATACAGCACTTATTTACCGCGATTTGTGTTTAACAAATAACAATTAACATTCATAACTTCCTAACTACGAAATACGCCTAACCGGCACTCGGCAGCCACAATTATAACATGGAAATATTCAAATAAATAATATTATTATGTGGAAAACGGATTTCCTTATTAAAAAGAAATGTTGGAACCGCCAGATTACGGCCGTTGGCAGAACGAGTAGAAACTTGGAAAACGGAGAACTAAGATTTCCATCCCAATTTGCGTTATCTTTGGCGGTATTATCAATTTAATCTGTTTTTTGTTCTGTGGCAATATCGACAAGTATGAAGCTATTGACGGAAATAAAATCAAATACCTGATTTCGGCTTTATCTGTACGAGTTACGGAAACAAAACATCGATCTTCAATAATTGAACCCCGAAGTCGACTGAATCCCGGCTTCAGTGTTCAGTTTAATAATTTATTTTATTAATGCCGACACATGAAATGTTTTAGAATCTCGATTATCATTCTGATTATATAAAAGCAGGACGAGTTGTATTCAGTGTTCTCTATTTTATTATATTCCTGCCGTTAATAACTCATTGAATCATGTCTCAGGAAACCGTTCAGATTCTCATTGACATGGGTTTCCCGAAAGAAAAAGCGTACGTTTATTCATACTCTTAAGAGTTGTAACTGCTTGTTTGTAAACGTTTCTAATTTATTTTTTCGACATGCTTTGTTACAGCGAAAAGAGTGTTACAATGACGGGAAATCAAGGGGTCGAACATGCTATGGAGTGGTAAGAACTATTCATTTGTATCGCTGTATCAGCGATATAATAAAATATTAAACATACAACTTCATTTCTTAGGAACTACTAAAAATTGTATCTTTAATTAATAGATTAAAATGCTACCAATCCAATAATTTTGAATGACTTCTTTTTACATACTATAGTTACATACTAACATATTATTTATCTTTAAAGGTTATTGGCACACAATGATAATGAAATGGGACCATCAACTTCTCAAGAAGGTTCTACTTCAAACACTAAGTCAGATACGAATTCCTCATCTTCAACAGTAGCTAAATCATACAAATGCGAAGAGTAAGATAATTAATTTAAATTGCATTGATTTAAAATTTTGAGCATAAATTAAGATACATCTTAATTTGTAATTTATAATCTCAAATAAATTAGGTTCCTACTCTATTTCAATCATTTTTATTCGAAGGTTACCTAAGATATTTCTGATAACAACCAATATTGAAAACTTTGTTTCTAGCTGTAACAAATTATTTGCTGATACTACTGCACTAGAATATCATGCTATGAAATCAGGTCATAGCAATTTTGCAGAATCAACAGAAGAAAAGAAACCGTTAACTGAAGATGAAAAAAAAGAACAAATGAAAAAACTGGAAGAACGTTTAAAGGAAAAGCGTAAGGAACGCGAAGCTAAAGAAAAAGAAGAAGAATTAGAAAGAGAAAAAATTCGAATTCGCTCTGGAAAAGAGATGGCTGCTGCTAAGAAAAAGTAAAATGATTAGTGTAGTTAAAATGTTATGTACTATTCATAAAAAATTGTTTTGCTTAGGCTTGAAGATGAAAACATAAAAAAAATTATGGATGAAAGAAAACGTGAAAAACAAGAAGAAAAAGTTGCTCGTGATCGAGTAAAAGCTCAAATAGAAGCAGATAAATTAGCTAGGAAAAGATTGTATGGTCAAGCTCCAGCAGAAGGACAACCAAAACAAACTTTACCAGTGGCTGTGAGTCCTCAAAAACAAACAAAAGATTATACGGAAACAAAATTACAGGTTGACTTGCTTAATATACATATTACTTTTTATATTTTAGTTATTGCTTATTGCATTCAGTTGACAATCAATCCTTTAGTTCTATAAAAAAAAATGTAAAAACATAAATTATTATTTAAAGTTTATGTTTTCAAAGTTTATTATGAGTAAAACATTTGGCCATATTTATTTAATACTTCAATTTTTACTTAACTTCAGTATTATTATTGGCAAACATTATTAATATGCCTGTTGACGACTAGAAATATTGGTCAAACCAGCTGATAGTTGTAGATACCAAAAACAGACTTATTTACAACCACATATAATTTATTATTCAAAGTAATATCTTATCTGATTATATTATTGATTATATTTTTTCTAGTTTATTCAGTTTTAATTTGAATGAATATTTATTTGTATTTAGATTCGTCTTACAAATGGTCAAACGATTGTCCAAACATTTAATGTTAAAGAAATGATGGCTGCTGTAAGAGTTTATATTGAACTAAATCGTTCTGATGGTGATGCTCCTTTCTGTCTCATGACTAGCTTTCCACGAAAAGTATTTACTAGTGATGATTATGAAAAACCACTTGATCAATTAGGTAATATCAACATTATATCATATTTTATTAGTTCAATGCTCAATTTGTAAAATATAACAGTTTATAAATTTAATTATGCTTTCAATTAAATTATAAATAAAAGTGTTTTGATATTCTGTTAAATTTTGTTTTATTATAATATTGAATGCTTTCTGTGAACTGTCTTTTTATTGGTAATAATTATGACAAATTAGCATTCATAATTATATTTATTTCCTATTTTAATATATATATGTATTATATATTTAAATTACTTTCATATAAAATATAAATTATCTTCTTTTATGATTAAAATATTAAGCAAATACATTTTTATTTAGTTAATAGTTGCTTGTATCCAAAAATATATTCATAATATTTTTCTTACACAGGGTGATTCACCAAGCATGCTCACCCCTTTTTTCTTCAGCAATGCAGTTATTCAAAATCTGATTTTTTAATTTTTAAGTATACTTTAAGACCATATTTTCAAATTCTTGAGATTTTTTGTACTACTTAAGGAGTGTTCTGTTTATATACAAACTTCTTTTTCTCAAATGAGAACACCCCTATTCAAGTATAAATTATACAATAGATAATTTTTCTAAAATTCTTGGCGTATCAAAATCAAAATTTTTGGGTTATTTAACTTTAAGTTCTAAGGATAAAAGGTCCATAATAATGAGTTTATAAGATATGAAGGATATGGTGATTTGAAAATTGTAGTCATTGATATAAATAATTTGTAAAAATGGCCCAAGTATAATAAATACTAAATACAATTTTATGTCTATCTTATATTTATGTAAAACCAGTTTAATACTAACATTTTAATAACTAAGAAACTCTGAATCGCATGTAAAATGTGTTACACCAACATTTTCAAAAAAATTATCCACTTATTAATTTACAGCAAAAGAGGAGTGTTCTCATTTGAAAAGCAGAAGTTTGTATCACCACAGGATACTGCTTAAGTAAAAGAAGAAATTGAAAGTATGGTCTTTGAGTATACTTAAAAATTCCAAAAATCAGAATTTGAATAATGGTGGTGATCATGCACCTTGTATATTATTATGATTTTTTGTAGTTACAAAGGCTTATACAATAGGCACTGTAAAAAAAATTAAACTAAAATGCATTTTACCACCCCTCACAAAATCAAAAATAAATTGTCGTTCTCTATATGTAACTTTAAGTACACAAATGATTTTTTTTATTGTTAAAACTAAGTTTTGAAGCTTATGCTTTCCCTTGGCTGGAGCCTCTAAAAGTCTCAACTCCTTTTTATACTTAAATTAACAAGGTTATTCTGTATGCAAACAAATCGGGGAAATTCAAAACACTTAAACATTGAACTAAGTCTAAGCTACAAATTCTATTGCATAATTGTTCTTTACTCACTATTATATTGTGTCCAAAAAGAAAAAAAACTATTAAGATGGTAAAGTGCATTTGTTCCTAAAACTAAAAAAAAATTATTTTTTATTAATTTCTTATTGTTTATCTTTTTTAGGTTTGGTACCAAGTGCTGTTATAATATTGACTAAGCCTCAACAATGAAATTATTCAAATTAATAATTATTATTTTTATAATATCTATCTTCTGAAATTTTTATAATAAATCAAGTTTTTTTTGTAAGCACAATGAAACTGATTGGTTAATTGTTTACTCTAATGTATAATATGGATTAAAAAATAGTGTTTAAAGTATATTACCATAAAGGTAAATAAAGATTTTCATTTTTAAAGTTTGTTATGCAATTGTTTCTTATTTATGTGTATGTACATTGATTATATTGCTCTTCTTACACTTAAATAATTTATGATACTGTATAATTTAGTAAGTTTGAGTAATAAATAATCTGATAATGTGAAGTATAATAGAGGTTTGAGTAGAATTTTAATAAATACAAATAAGCTTAGTCCACACTTCACTTTAGAAGATCGTATAAAAAGACATCATTCACTGTCAATGAAAAATGAAAAATGAACAATGTAAACACAAAATCATCAGAAGTTGCCATACATATTAAACTAGTTTTAATTTCGATCACTTTGAATAATTCATACAAAATAACTACTAAAAGTAAACCATTTATAACATTCTATATTCATGACAATATTTGTCTAATTGTAGTAAATCTCAAACATCTTAAGAGGTCAAATGTCTGTAATATTTTATTCAACTATTGCTGTGTGCCTATATTACTCATATTACGTTAAATTTTTTTTTTTTTTTTAATGATCCTGAGCCCGGCAACTGTGGCCATTAGCTATTAGTAGGTATTGTAGGTTTTTTTGTATTGATGGTTTGTAGGTTTTTGGTACGGTAGGGGGGAACACGTGTGTGTTTGTTTTGGCAGAATTTCGAATGGGGCACCCGTAGGTTTCTGCCATGCCCCGGGGGTGGGGGATGGCAGCACTTGATCTCCGGTCACCGCAACTTGTCAGGAGAAAAATGCCGCCCGGTGGCCAAGGATCGAACCGCGACCGGCTGCGTCGCGGCGGAAGAGTCAGACCACTCGGTCACCTCGTCCCCCATTACGTTAAATTGTATGTAATTATACAGTTTAATCATATTTTATTCAATTTGTATTGATAAAAATGATGTTGCCATTTAGACGACAACTGAGCAGACGCTGTATCACAAAGAATTATCCCATAAATAAGGTATTCTACAGAATTATTTTGAAAATAGAATGCAAAGGATTGCTGGTCTTAAGAAAATCGGTATAGGTAGCTTTTGATTGTTAGTTAGTATTACATTTACACTCAACACAGCTACAATTATGAAACATCTGTGGGAGAAAAGCCGTTCTACCATGTTCAATTTGAATTTACCACTGCTTTTAAAATTTATTTTCAAATATCTATATTATACTGTAAAAAACATTCAATTTTTACAGACAGGTTATGTTGTTACTTATTGATGTATGGTATTGATAGGAAAAATAATCTCATATTCAGTGTTACAAAATATCATTGTAATAACGTTAAATAATATGATTTCAAAGAAATTAATTTTAGGACTACAACAGGTTATAATGGGACTAGGATCTAAGTTGCCCTGGGACTAGTGCTGTACCATGGTATGTAAAAATATTAACTCTGACTTAATTTGGTTAATAGGTAACTTAGCTGAACTTGATTGTGCAAAAAAAAACTTCAGAAAATAATTATTTTCAATACATAATTTTAGTTTATTATTATATTTATAAAATCATTATTAACAAACATTTAGGCAGAAGTGAAAAAAAGCGTAATAAATCCATAAAAGTACTATCAAGTTTTTTCCGTACAGACATTAAAATTTTGCAAAGAGTAGGGCGAGAGTTCAATTCAATATGCACATATATACACAAATAATATTATTTAACATGCATTTTTAACAATTAAAAATCCAATGATAAATTACTTACACATTACTCACACATACATACTATTGTGTATCCCAATCGTTTTACAATTGTAGTCTATACCGTACCGTATAACCTCATCAAAGGTGTTTCATTAATTAATAAAAAAAAAAAAACAATAAATAAAACAATAACAAAAATGAATGAAAAATGATTCGCATTAAATATAATTTACAACTTGTATTCTTGTAATTTATTTATATTCAAGTCATCGCCATTTTCTAATAAGTCTGTTGTACAAATCTTCGAGGGAATAACTCTGGGCAAGTCTCTGAGCTCAGCTTTGCATTTATGAGTTTGGCTCACATCTTTTCCAATACAGCCAGACAATATCTTCTTTAACATTTCTCGTTTACCTTTGTTTACTTTGTTGTTTAGTGGGTCCTCGCTCATCACCCATTTATCGAAACGCTCCAATGTTTCCAAATTGATTTCTGGTAATTTTCTTAAGACTTCTAATAATTGATTATTTTTACTACGATAAGTTTCATATATGTTAAGACATGTAGCTAAAAGGGGACCCATATTAGAATCGTGATGACCAAACCAGTGAAGACTTTCTAGGACTGCTATCAACAAGTCCGGTGCAATTGTCATAGCAGTTCTTTCATCCTCGACGGCCAAATGTCTTACAACAATTTGAGATAAAAACGTTGCTTTATAACTAGACTGGCTATCACACCAGGGATGTAAGACTGGCCGATTATCCCATTGAAATATTTGACATGTCTTCCAAAATTGACTTATAGATGTATTCCACGACAAACCATTTAAAATACTTCCTACAATCAAGTGCCTAGATTGTTCATTTCGTAATAGTTTTATACCTAAATCAGATAATTCACTATTAGGAATTTCTTCCACGCTTCCATGAGGGCTCGTTTTTGATTCATTCGAACTAGTTAAACTTGATCGTACTAAATCTAGATATTCTCTAGTTAATAGCCGAATCATCATATCTTCCAACAGCTCTTCGGAATCTCCATCTTTATTATCATATTCTTCACGTTCAGGAATATTCTTCCAAGTAATACTTAGGCGTATTAACATATGAGCTAAAAAGGAGTTTAGAATAGGAATAAGAACAGTATCATAATATTTACTTGAACAGTTAATGAGAAAAGGCTTAATAAAACTCTTCATAACAGTTCTGATGCGTACATGTGGTAAAGAATCTGCGTCACTCATTATGGTTGCTTCAAAACTTGGGGCAAAATTTTGTAGAGCATAAAATTGGTCTCCGAGTAATAGACACGATTTTCCCAATACATTTAAACACGATTCGTAAGCATTTAAAATTGCTAATTTTACCTTATACACCGGATCAGGTTTTGGTTTTTGTCTAAATATCTGAAAAGGGTCATTTTTCTCAGACACAATGTTCTTTCCAAGTAAAGCTTCCCGTTCTTGAGGAAATATCTCTAAGACTGTAGTATAACTAGGATGCATCATTTTTTTCACATTTTCTGAACATAAAGAGTTTAGATTTTTTATTATTAAAAACACATTTGGAAGAAGTAATAAAACGTGTTCAGTCACTGGTGAAACGTTTGGAATTTTTGCTAAGTTTGAATTTGTGTTGCTTCTAGTCATAACACAAGCTAATACATTAATACAATGAGATAGATGATTTCGATTTTCCAGGCATGGATCAGATTCTAAATCGACTGGCGGCCTATCGAGGCCTAAATATGCTAATAACCCTTCAGGAGGTCCAGATACAATACTTTGTACTTTTTGCCACATTAATTGACAAGGTTCTAAAATGTGTTTAATTAATTGAGTTTGTTTATAAAAATCTGGTACATGATTGTTTAGCACTAGAAGTGCCTCTTGCAAACGTAAACATACTGCAAGATTATCACCAGTTTTACTGGTTTTTAATAGAAGTTGATCACTTAACGAACACAACTTATCAAAAACTGGCAGTAAGAGATTTGGATATTTGATACTTAGTTTTATAAACAAAGAAGCAGAATGAAATTTCAAATCTTTGATTGGAACACATAATTGATCATCCGGATGACACTCAAGTATTAGATATTCACACATTTTATTAAGTGTGACATGAAGATATTCTGAAGGCCAAGATGTTGAAGTTAGAAACACAAACAATGCAGACACAGACGAAAGAAGGAATGACAATATTAATGGATCTCTTGTATCAAATTTTAAACACAACTCAATTAGCCTCAAACCTCTAGTAACAATTTCAGAATCAAGAGTTAAAGATAATTTACTCATGACACCATCTAATATTAAAACCATCACTTCCCATTCTAGAAATTCTGCTGAATCTTGTTCACAAAGAGGAATCACTTTCATCCTTATTGATGTTTTTTCCATGCATGACTTCAGTAAGTTTTCTGTAACTGAAAACATAATATTATTTTCAATAGCAGAAGCACATCTAATTGTTTCAATAATTTCTGATCGGGTGTGATAAAAAACTGTATTATAACTTTCTTCGTCGGTAAAATCGAGTAAAGTGAATGAATCTAATTTTTTGTAATCTATCTTAATTAATTTTTTTGAAGCTAACAAAAACCATTTTGGAATGTAATTTTGTTTTAGTAAAATATTCTTACTGATTTCTGTACTTTTAAATAATACACACCAGGCTTGATTAATATTAGTAATGACATTCAATGAGTCATGAACCAAGCAAACTTGTAATAAGTCAACATAACAAAAAAGTATTTTTTCAGATTTTTCAATGTTAAAATTATGCAATTTATTATCTTTCCAGAAAGCACATAACACAAAGCTCAACATGGACACAACTTTGGATAATGTTTTTAAAAATATATTATTTTCTTCATTTGCTTCTTGACTGATTGCCTTGAGTACTACCATATATATCTGTTGTAAAGGTTGATCGAGCAATTGTACAACACATTCTCTTTCTTCGTTTTTACATTTTCTTGAAAGTAATATAAGTAAACAATCAACAGCAGATTGTCTAAAATTAAAATCGTCTAACAAAGAACATAAGACAGTGATTATATAACAATCTTTAAAATTCACATGCGAGAGTTGAATAAACTCAAATAATTCTCCAATATTAGCCAATGCAAGCTGTATTACTCGGATAAGGGCTGTTGCTGAACTCTGTTCATTTCTACTTAAGAATTCTAAATATTGTCTACAATAATTATCAATCACATTTATAAAGAATGGAAAAATTTTAGACATACTCATTTGAAGTTCTTTACTAATATCTCGTCGCCTGGCTGCATTGTCAACAGTTTGCAATAAGACAACATCTTCAATTAACCTCAAAAATATTAGCATAACAGTTTCCGTTTGACAACAGCCCAATGTTGTAGCACATTCTAAT